GGTGTCTCAAGGACAGCCGACCTTCTCAAACAAAGTGCATGCTGGACGAGTGTGCGAGGTGTTGCCAAACACGTGCTGGGCTGTCATGATTGTCAACTAATGAAAGGTGATCGGTAAATACGACCACCGCCTCAGCCAATCCCAGTAGTGGCAGTGAGTGACCTGCTGTCTGTGGACGTAATGGGACCATTTCCGCAGACATCCAGTGGCCACCAAGACCTGTTGGCGATGACGGAGCATGCCACACGATGGGTAGATGCTGTCGCAGTTTCCGATCAACCCGCGAAGACAGTGCCGCAGCTGTGATGTGGCAAACTGTCGCGGATCACGGTGCGCCGAAGATGATATTGGCCGACCAAGGTCCATGCTTTGAGAGTAAAGAATTCAAATGCTGTTTGGAGCAGCTTGACAGCAAAAGGATAAGAAAGACACCGCACCACACGCAGACTAACGGCTTAACAGAATGAGATAACCGTACCCTTGAGGAATGGCTGGCTTCAAGAGTCAAGGAGGGAGTTGGGAGACATCTGCCGTTAATATTATTAGCACATCGTGCCTCTGTACGATGAACAACCAAGAAGTCATCGTTCCAGTTAGTGTATGGCAGGAAACCACGGCTTTCAATACACAGTAAGACATGGCCCCATCGACAGCTGTGGAACGTGACAAGATTGCGAAAGGAGAGGAAACAGACAATCAGAAGTGTGGAAGAAAACAGGAAGCTGATGCTGCAGAACACGAGCGGAGAGAAGGAAGTAAACACAAGCCTTTCGAGGTGGGAGGTCAAGTGAAATGTTGGAAACAAGGATCTAATTCAGGCGGTAAATATGGTAGAAAACTGCTCCCGAAGTGGGAAGGACCATATACCATTATCGAGAGACGCGGTTCAGTTTATACCATCAAAAAAGGGGACAAAGAGATAAAAGTATAGGCCTACTCCAAAAACGGAGACGGTGGGAAAAGAAACTTTGCAGGGCCATCAGAAGAAGACGGCACCTGGACACTCAGTGTGGCTACCAGCTCGAAATGTTGAAGGGGGTAACGAGTGTTTTGGGTGCTACCGATGAGAATGTATATAAGTAGTATATGTTAGGGGGGTCAGCAGAAGTCGTAGCAGTTACGAGCGATGGGTAAATATTCTGCACTGAGAAGCACAAAAGGAAACGTGGGCGTACGAAGAGCAAAAGGAGATAGAAGAAGAAGAAGAGGAAACAAAACATATTGCAGAGATAATTACTTCAGTGGAGGGGTTGCAACTTTTCATCAGTAATGTACAGGGTGTCATAATAAACCTTCTTCGACGTTTCCTCCTCACTGTTTCCTTACAGTATTAAAATCATTGGTTGTCGGAGAGTCGGATTGGATTCTTTGAAAAAAGAACTTGATCTCAAAGATTTCTTTTACAGCAGCTGGGCCGACGAAAGATGAAACCATCTCTTTTCTCATTGTTTGATACACAATCCATCAAAACACCTTATTTACAATATTTTGGTATTTGTATTTCCGAATGAAAGTAAAACAAATCAAATTCTTCTTAATAAACAAATTTACCAAAACATATTTATTTTGGTTTACATTCTTTGGGAAATGCAAGTATTAGAATAGTGAGTACCATTAACCCAATCCTCAAATGTTTTTTAAACTTCATTCAGAATTTAAACTCCTTACAAACAATCCAACTGTCTACAAATAACCAATGACGTCATACTTCATCAACAACTTATGCTGCGTCAATAACATGGTAAACTAACGTGTACTAATGACCCTGAATTCAGCATCTGCAGCCTGATTAATCGTCCTTAAACATTCCACCACTTAAGTTTAGTCCAACCAAATACTGTACATATCGCTGATAAAAATGTTTTAATTACCTACAAACTCATCAGTTTCGATAAACATTGCTCAAAGTTATGTGACTTATTGTCACTCAACAAAGTCACTAACATGATATTCAACGGATTAACTTCAGGCGCACTCAGGAACTTTTGATATTTCTGGGGAAAACTTCGGGCGCACTTCAGAAGTTTCGATACTTTCGAGGTAAGTGTTTGGAAATTTCGGGGAATATTTTGTGTCTCTCCACATGCGCCCAAAGTAAAATTTCCGAGTTTTTGCCCAAAAGTTACAATGTGCGCCCAAAGTAAATGCTGGTTGGGCCGGTTATAATCATCCCAGAAGTTGAGAAGTGTATTTCGCAACCAGTTTATAAACTGTCATTTCATTTTGTGGTATATTCGCTCACTCAACTCGTCAACTTTTGCCATCTTACAGCTGAGTTAAAAATATTCAGGCACACCACAGATAAGCAGGGCCCCAACGAGAGAGTTATTTAGTCTTAAAATCAGTTTCAGGTAGACGGCGAAGTACCTGACCACCAACAATGAATTTTATTGATTTCCCCCAACAGTTTTATCAGAAGGCTGCAGTTTTAAGTAATTTTCAACGAAAACGCATGGAGAACATATCTGGATGCTGATTAACCACACAAAATTAAGAGATATCGATATGTTCTGTATGTTTTACAAATAGTCAGCGAAAATCATTCAGTTTTCTGGTATTGTATATAATGCTCACTGAAATATTTGACATAGTTCTTGTGACTGCATGGATGTTTTACTATTGACTCGGTATCTGCTTTGATACTCATGACTTTTCGAATATATTCTGTTTTAGCGATTTTATACATCACAACAAACTGTAGGTGAGGAAAGTTTTGAATTTGTGAAAACTTATTGGGATCATAGATGAAAGGAGTCAGATGTACTTCATAATGGGTTACTTACCTAAACGTTGGAGTAAGTAGATAAGTGTCTTGTTCTATCTGGTCTTTGATCTAAATGGCAACTCGTTATTAACTTAAGATGAGGCTTATTTGCGACAGCAAAACATTGATTGATTATCAGCTCGAAAATTGTAGTACATCCCCAGATAAAATATGGTCATGACTCCCAGTTTAGAGGTTATGATATTAGATTCATGAATAATATTTCAAGAAAATTAACTCAGTACCAATGTGTGACATTTGTAGAATGCATACCAGTTTTATTATGAAATCAATCTCGAATCAGATTACAGGAGAATCAATACTTGTCAGTAGTAATCCATTAGTCAAATCATGTATGAAAGCTTATTCTTAATGGAATTTTTCAAAATGTTTACCCATACTTCTTGGAGTAGCCTTTTTATCATACACACAAGTTCATCAAATTTTTCGACTGATACCAAGACATGTTTTATTACAACCGTTACAGCTTACAACTCAGTCACAAGTGCAGCTCTCAATGGATTAGAGAGTATGTTATCAGCTCCACTATATGGTAGCTGATATGTACGCAAAATTTAACGAGACATCTAGTAGCCAATCAGTAATGACATCTGTTATGACACTGAAAAATGCTGGTTCGCATTAAATAAGAAGTAACATTTTAAAACTCGGTAATTGTTATTCTCAAGCAGCAAATGAACTACAGTGCAAATATTAGAAAGTCGAATAAAGCTAGTCTCTGTTAACTGCTCTCACCGGTTCGGCAATGGGTCGGTAACCTAAAGGCCGTTGGTTCGAGTCCTTCTGTGATTTAGGTTTTCATCGTACCTTATCATCTAGAATCATTAAAATCAGTCTACCGAAACATGGTTATCTCAGACAGTCTTATTATCATTTTATTGGCTCAAATATTTAGTGCTTTCAATGATTAAAATGATTATGTTCTGTTTTCATTATTAGTCAAAATAATTCACTTGGATATTTGTGATAAATATACGAATCAACTAAAAAGTGGATATGAATTCGTTACAACTATTTTAGGTTCTTATAAAACTATGAGCAGGTGGTTAAACAAAGTTATCCAACCAATGTACGTAGTCTGTCCAAGAAATACCTTTCATACAACCTTTTCGAATTTATCACGAAAACTGCCATTACATTTTCCTGTTAAAGTGTATAATGCAGACAGTTAGAAAGAGTGTTTATGAGAAAGCAAATCATCAAAAATCTGCACAACTGTTGTCGAATTTTAAGTCACGCAACCGCATTACATAAAGTAGTGCACAAGAAGTCGTAGATGTTTCAATCCCCTATAAACGGGAACGATTGTGAACAAAGGTCAGGTAATAGCCTTAGTTACGGCTTTTAATTTTTAGCTTATTTAGTCACCAAAACATTTTTGTCGTAGTGCTAACAACCACATTTCCATTTGCACTTACTTAAGTGTTTTAGACTAAGAATAACAAGGAGGTGCTGAATTCACTTTCACCCTTTTACTGTTCAGTCTATCCATACTTCAAATGATCAGTAAGAACGCTCAACTGCTCATACTGTTTTTGAAGCAATGTTTGTGTATACTGTGTAGAACGACACAAACCAAAACCTAATATAATTGTGTATAGGTTCATAATAACAAATTTCACATAATGAAGTAGGGAGGATGTAGAAAGGATGGAAAATAAAAATAAATAAAAGGATATGATAATATTTTTGTGACTGTTTATAGTCTATATCACTTGGAGACCTCAGCCTTTATCTTCGGTTATCATTTCATCAACAAATCAGAAAATTCGCTAACCCTTGCAGGGCTCAAACCAGCAACTAAGATCTTCATTTGATAATGAAAATTCGTGTTCTGAACATCCCTTTCTTTCTTCTGACGTAATCTTACTCAGCTTTGCATAACCCATTTCGTAAGAATTATCTAAAGATGCATAATAATTGTCCCAGTCACCTAGCTCTATGAAGGTTCATCACTTCACCTGGTTCAGCTTTTCATATTATACAATATGCAGAACTTCCTTACTGTTCACATAGTGATTACACAGAATGCTTATAATGTTGATATCATGCAAAACGCTTCAGGTAAAGAGAACATCAGTCAACTGGAGTGGAAGCCAACCTGGAACAACCATCTAACTTAAAATTAAGAACCAGACTAGGTATAAACATTGTCTACCGAACGAAAAGTAATGGTTAGTTAATATTTTCGTTGGGAAAAAATTAAAACTTACAGTTAAGCTTTTCCAACTTTATTACCTTTACATGGAGCCAAAAAACTTTGCCATCCACCTTTATCATCAAGTTGTGTTCTCAAATGAACTGAGCCATCAGCTTTTCCATAATCCCAGTGATAAACCGAACTCATACGTGAACCAGCCTGAAAGCGAGTAGATGAACCTTCTGGTAATCGATATGGAAAGACAGCACCTTTGATGACACCTGGCAATAAGTCTTCAAGTAAATTTAATGCGCAACAAATATTAACAAATGTTGGACCGGCTATTGTTAAACGTCGACGTGGTAAGCCTTTCACGCATGCTACCCCTGGATCCAGTTCACTTAGATGTACTTGAGTACCAGAATGTCTTTCGATCGAACGTATACGACGATCGGAAAATGCATCACGTGCACATTTAGTTTCCTTGACTTCTTTAATGTGCTCTGGATTTTGTAGTAGTGCAACCTTATCCATAAATGCTTTCCTTTGAAACGGTATGATATCATCATCGACCTATAACGTCAGAACAAGAAATGAGCAAAATTATCTTTAGATTAGCAGGGATTTAGAAATCTTTTAAAGTCAAAACACAAACTTATCAATCTCGGTTACAGCTAGTAAACGTAACATTAATTCGCTTGGATATTGTATGTGCATATATATGTATATATACAGCTTTATATTTTAGTTCCTATTTTGATTTGTTCTATTTGCACCAAATTTTGAGAATTTCCAGTTGTATAATGAATTGATATCGCATATCTCGCCGGTTGGTGTCAGAGATGACGCAAGTTGGAGAATGTTAAACGGCCTTCTGCTTCCCGGCTGAGATTTCGTCAACAACCAGCCCGTTCGAGCTGATGCAACTCCACAATCAACTGAAGTGGTTGACAAATCAGATCAATAAGCGGGGGGTAATTGGTGTAGACCAGTCCTGGTGCATCATCTTGTATTCTACAACTGCGTAAGGCAAGCCTATGAAGACAGATATCTGCCGAAGAAATCAGAATACTCAGCATTTTAAAGTTTATTCACTAAGAATGATTATATGGGCTGCATAATCTAAAACAGCCACCTGACACCCATGGAGAACTGGCTCACTAGGTGTGCAGTCAGTCGTGACAAAAAATATCATCGTCAGAAGCGAAAAGCCAAAATTGTAGGAAACGTGAGAATGAAAATCCAAGGGAAACCACAAGATCACATTCAGTTCGATATGATGAAAATTTAAATCCTTGCGTGAAATAGAATAGACAGCTTTGATTAGTGTAATATGCTTTCACGGTACTACTGCCTTCACATTGCGACACTGCCACAACACCCCGCAGTCGACAGAGTCAAATGCCGCCTCCAGATCAAGAAATATGGTAGGTGAGAGAGACAGTCAGAGACCATCGACTGATACTACACCTTGATCTGGCCACTCTGAATCCTCTTTCAACCCAACCACACATCGGCTAACATTGCACATCCAGGTAGGTGGTGCACCGGCACGCGCAACATGTGTCAAGTCACCTCAATCGGTGAAGGTTCGCAACTTCACCCAGTACTCGTGGCCTAACCTCAACACTACTCCGACCTTAATTTCATCATATGTGAGTAACGCTGCAAAGACACCCGTGGTTGAAAACCTGTGATATATTCATTTTCCAAAGAGTCATTTCTCACAGACGTATAGCAAGACAGACCAAACTGTTGTGCAGGGTACTCGTCTTTTATTAGGTAGTCGGATATCTCATCTGTGTTGCAGGTGACGTGAGCCGACGAAGAGCAAACAGGCAGCCTGTATGCTAGCTGAGACTTCTCCAGCAACCAACGCATTTCTGCTGATGCAACTCCTCAAGTAATTGATGGCATCGACCCATTGAACCATTCCATTGCCTACCATTCAACCGCTAGTTGCCACAGATCATTTTTAGAGGATCATCATTCATTTGACGGGTATGAGTAGGTCAATCCTTGTAAGGTTTAATGTACCTGTGGTTATGTCAAATAGTTCGTCTTTGACAAAGTGAAAGAGATACGATTACGAACGGTGTCCACGGCTTATTATGCCAGTTTCTGTCGCTTTACAGCGTGGCCACCTCTGCGCTTTGCACGTATGGTCACATTCAGTTTAATTTGAATAGTCTTTAATTTCCCGTCAGACCATAGACCTCTCCCAGTCAATGGAGTTGAATGCCATCTTTAAGTTGTCTATTATTTCAGATAATGGCCTGTAGTATTTATGCGCATCTCCAAGCACCTCTGAAAGTTGGTTTGTATGATCGATTTCCTGGATTCTCTCCTGAATTCTGATTTCTTTTCTACAGGTTGTTTATCTCATGCTTGATTCCAATGTTTAGACTCTATGGGCTATGGACTTAATGTTTTTAAACTGATTACTCTATGGTTGTCACAGTTTCTCCGTCTTTGTTCCTAGTTGAAGGTGGTTATTGACAATCTAGTCCACCGTACAGGGCCAAACCCTAATTCCCATATGAAAGTTAGTGGGCAGATTGCCCCATTTTCCACTTCCATTCCTAAAGGTGTGTGATGGCTAACCGTGAGGCTCCATCGCCCTGCCTCTTTTCAGGTGTGTAGCGGCCTTTTCGGTTTCTCGAGGTTTTTGGAAATGAACATGTACCTATCACGCTTTGTGCGTACCACGTCACCATCTAATCTGTCATGTTATGTCCGTTGTATTACGATTAAGTCTTACGAAATTGGAAGGTGGCAAGTATGAATCATGATATCAGCCGATGGAGTCTTAGACCTTTGAGTTCAGCCGTACCAAAGATAGAAATGGGAATACACTCGGCAGCCCATTGTGTATTCTTACGTTAGGTGACGAGCCCCGAGCTTTTTGTGAGGGTCGTTGACACTATCTGGCCCCCTTTACTTCCTTAGTTATGCATGTAGGAGCTAGTCGGTAATGTGGGGGATCAATAGTTGCATACCTTCATTGGCGTTTTTATAGTTTCGTCGCGTGTATAGAATTTTTGTTTCATTTGGCATTATGAACGTTTCCTGTTTCTTTTTCCTTCTATCACACAATTTTCGACTTTGATATCCTTCTTATTCTTCCTTCATATGCAACTCTGAAATTGTCAGGTTTTGTGCACCATTCTATGTTGATTTGTCTGTGTGCCTAAACTTTGTTGGTATCCAATAAATACCAACTTGTGATTGATTTTGAGTTTTTACATTTCTTCCACGTTTTCGCGCTAGGCTCCTGAATGCAAGTGCCAATATGTGCGGCGGTCAAATTCGTGACAAACAGTTCCGCGTTGTAACGCTTCATGTAAATGTTGATCAAAAATTATGCGTATCTCATGTTTTCTGTCCAAACATATAGATTTAGATATAACTAACTGATTTACTGTCCATTTTATTTCACTAGCTTCACACGGACTCCTTTCACCAGAACGTTTCATGTGAGCTGTCTCTTTTATAGAACATGAGATTGATAAAAGCTCTATATTGTTTGCTTCATTGCTTTCGGTTTATAACATTTTTTTTATGAAATAAAGATTGAACATGTAAAGCTTTGTTAATAAAAAGAGAACCATCCAATCCTTGGAGTTGCACAAATGCACGCAGTATTTCACAAATCCACCAGTACTCAGTTTTCGTTAGATCATCAACCTTTAGGACATTCGCCTCACAGTCATTCTTCACATCTCTCAGTCGGTATTCATGCGTCTTCCCTAAACCTTTCCTTCTCTGCAGCTCTTGTTAACGATTTGACTTCACGGAACAACATCCCTGGTCTCCTTACGGGGTTTTCCAAAATAAATATTGAGGCTTCCAGTGTCACCCCCTCCATCAAATAAGACAACTAGCTTCGCTGGCGAAAATTCTGTCATCTATGGCCATGAATATAAGCTGTGTTTCTGAGCAACACACACAGGATCCAGGTGCAGTTAATCATCTAATCTCACCTAGCCAATATGGTGAATCTCTGAAACTTAGCCTTTGGGTTTCTAGAGATTCGTTGAGTAGTTCTCGAGGTCCTGCAGGAGTGAAAAGTGAGTTTTAGTGAAACTGTCTAACTTCTCACTGAAAACCAGGCGCTTAGACGTGGTATTTGTTTTATGTGATTAGAAGTCAAAAGTGGGTAGACTTAGTCTGCTAGGAAGACAGTTAGGTGGCACTTCCGGGATCCCAGCCGAACGAATGGATAACGGCGATCGCCTACTACAGCGGTGCTCAGATAACCATTTACTTACAGCCAGCCCAAACTTCAGACATAAAGATAGACAGTGTTGAATGTGGCGTTCACCGAGCTTAACTCAGTGGTGGACACAGACAGACCATGTCGTTATCAGTTATCGCTGGGAAGTGTCGGTGGGAGATCACTACTCCTTCTGAAGCACGTGTTTGGGCAGAAACCACGTGGTTTCCATAGCGTATATCTGCATTTCAATGGACGTAGGAAAACTTAAGCAATAAGATGATTTTGAGTACAGCTCGACAATGCGAGCACTAGATCTGCTTTCAGTGAGAAACTCAATAGACACTCATCGGTACAGAACAATATCACTCATCACCCAGAAGCCATGCGCAACCTCCAGTCTTCTGTAAAAATAGTGTTGAGGACCGTACCCGACTCTCATAGAGTGGTTCAAAGAGCCAATGGATATCAGAAACTTCTGAATTATTGGATTCACGTGAATACCTCCTTGCGGACTTCGAATGCAATGAGGTGCGAGCGCAAATCAAACATAGACTGGAAAAAAGTATACGCAGTGACCACGAACAGTGGTGGGTAGAGAAGGCTAAAGAGATGGAAAAGGGAGGAACGACAGTCAACAGTAGATAGCTATTTAAACTGATTAACAAAAGTGGGGTGAAAAGGTCATTAGTTTACCAGACAATAAAGGAGAAGGATGGATCTGCGATCCACTTGCAGGAGAGACAACTGGGATGATCGACTAAACGGTTCAATTGGTTTCTGGCTACTATTTCGTTGTCCACTTGGCAGTCGAAGCCTGAGTGGAACATCGAGATAGGAACCCCAACACTTGTGTAGGTCGATACAGCTGTAGTTAACCTGAAATAAAAGAGTGACAGGGCCAGATGGACTAGTTCCAAAGGTATATGAGGACCATGACAAATAAATCTACCGTTTGTGTAATTCAAATCGCACAATCCAAGTTCGCTCAGAAACAGATATTACTTTTGAATAGTTTAGACGGTCAATTGCCCCAATACGAATTCCCGGCAAATCCAAATGATTGCGTTCATAACTATTTTAGTATCGTACTAGATAAATTACAGACGGAAGTCTCACTAAAGAAAATGATAGATGATGGATACATTTCATCATTCTTACTTGAAAATTTGAAAGCTATAGGCAACACGATTTTGCGGATATGTGGGATCACTTGACAACACATATTTGTTCACTAACTTCTCTCAAATGGAAACCATGGATTACATTTGTCAACAGTTATTGAAAAGGAAAGCAAACGCTAACATTCCTACTATGAATTTGAAGGAACCACTGCTAAAATGTACAATGAATATCCAGTTCATTTTCAAAAGTAATCCGTACAGACAATTTGACAGAATGGCAATGAGGTCGCCATTCGGCCTAGTATTTGCAGACACATTTCTGGTAAAATTCAAAAATTTTCCTTTGAAATATCAAATTGTCAATATCGAGATGTATTGTCGATATATGGATGATCCGCTTTTAGTCTCTATGCCTTTGCATTAATTCTAATTTTAACCATTTCAACCATCTGAGTTACAGCATACACATTTTCTCAGCTTCTTATCGATGAAGCACAAGCGTAATATAGTCAGGTTCCTGTCATTCAGAGTAAGATCTGTTTGCTCCAACAAGTATGTGGATAAAGAACTAGTGTGTATCCGTGATATTATAAGTGAAAAAGGATATCCTGACACGTTCATCGAAGCCAGGATCAATTGATGACAATAGAGAAGAAGTCTTTGTTTCTGCAATTACAATTAAGGGAAACTCTCCAAGTAACATTCTTTCACAACCCCCAGCTAAAGCATACAACAGAACGTTTTATGCAGGTCGTTTTTGTAAATCTTTCAGTAGTCGGTCAGTGCTTAATCCAAGATTAAGGGATAGCCTACCTAATCTTATCTCTTCATCCTGCATATATCAATTCGGCTGTTCATATGGAGCAACTTACATAGGGCGTACGACTACGCACGTGCGTCTCCAGATACGAGAGCATTGACCAGCCTTGTTCGTAAAAGGTGAAGTGAAAATTCCGTCCTAAAGTACCTAGTAGACACAGGGAATCACGTACAGGCTAATAAAGCTTTCAGTGTCATTCATCGTATTCCAAAAGCAATAAAACATGTAACTCTCCAACCCCTGTTCAACATACCTGAGTGGGTGTAATAAGACTGATCAAAACTGAACGGTACATCTAGAAAGATTATGTTCAAACCCTATTACGCCCTTAGCCTTCGGTAAACCAAAGATCACTCCTTTCTTCTTTATTCGTTATCTTTTTGTTTACTATCACATCATTCATCTGTATACATGTCATCCTAACACTGACAAATTTAACAAACCAAAATCGCCTTCCTTAAAGCCCTTAAATCCCACTCCATTTTGAAAATGTATTTGCCCCTAACCTGACTTGCTTTGAGGCTGCGAAAATGCATTTTATAATTGTATAACCTGACGAGGATTTATTGAAATGAATATTGAATTCAGAGGTTTGTAGATTTTTCAAGTTGGTACTCATCATAGACTGATGTCAGTTGAAGGAACATTGGAAAACTGGGAGCACTTGACAGCGGTTTTGTTCTAGTGCGTGACTTCAGCAGTACGCACCAACGACCCCGACGGGGGTTGAGCACGTGACCTTCACATTCCATGGTCAGCTGTTTAACATTGAGCCACTGGGTCATAATCCAATGGTCCATATCTTCAACTTTTGTCAGTTCACGATATAGCGCGGCCATCACCCAATGTCATCGTTGAGTATTTTTCCTCACGGCCACCAGGTTTGCCCCATTGGTCACAACTTCTCATTGGAACTTCAGGATACACTTCGAGAAGCTAGTCACCAATCAGCACTTGTTCAATTGTTTTTGGGGTTTTGTGGAGATCTACATTTTTCAAGTTGGTATTCATCATATACTGACGTCAGTTGGAGGAACATTGGAATATTAACAGGGTCGTGGGTGCGCACAGCTGAAGAGTTCCATACTAGATCGAAACAGCTGGCCAGTGCTCCCAGGATTCCAATGTCCCTACAAATGATGTCAGTCCATGATGAATACCAACATGAAAAAAATACTTTCCATTCACATAGTGGCTTTTCATTATTGTTATGAGAATCTTTAAATATTTGAAATCTTACAGAGGAATCAGCCTGGAAAACATAGTGTCTAATAATCTAAGTTCTATAATCACTAGACATCTGAGTGAAACTAGGGAACAACAAACCCGAGAAAGCTATGCAGGCTTCAGATCTAGCCGTTGTTGTATCCACCAGATATTCACGCTTCGGAGGCTGTGGAATACGGCCACACTTACCGACGCTAACTGTATTTCTCGACCCGAAGACAGCACTCGACTCCGTCGACCGAGGAGTCTTACGCCAGTGTCTCCCACTGAAAGGAGTACAGGCTAATTACATCACTCTGTTAAAGGCTGTTTACTGCGGGGGTGTTAGTGCTGCTTATGACGAGTTGTAAGGTGACTTCTGTACATCGAGTGGCGTACGTCTAGAATGTCTACCATCTCTATTTCTATTCAATTTCGTCATAGACGTTCTGATAGATTTCTACCTGTCGTCGTCTGACTTCACAGGGATTGATCTAATCGCAGGAGAATCTTTGGTAGACCTAGAATACACAGATGATATAGTTTTGTTAGGTAAAAGTTGCAGAGTCTTCTAAACACCTTGAATAGCGGTTTGCGAAGGTTAAGATGCATTTTTCGCTATCTAAATGCAATCTATTGCTCCAGGACTGGTATTCAACACTGCCCAACTAAAAGTAGGCAGTGAAGTGGTTGAATGAGTCTAACACTTCACCTACCTGGATAGTCGGATTACTCCTAGTATGTCAGTGACCGACGAAATCTCTGCACAAAAATACAAGGCTCGACTGGATTTAGCTAACTGACGCCACATGTGGCGCCGCCGCGATATCTAGTTGTCTAATAAGGATCAAGTGTGCTGTGGTGCAGTTCACTCTGTTCTACTATATGACTGTGAAACATGGCCATTAAAAGTAAAGGATATAAGAAGGGTTCAAGTATCTAATCACAGTCACCCTCGTAGCACAGGCCATGTGTGGCAGAATCACCACGTGAATAACCCAGAATTCAGGTGTGGAGTTTTATGGAGATGAAAGCCAGTCGATGAGGTTGTGAACCTTCACTGACCGAGATGGCTGGGACATGTGTTACGTATGTTTAGTCACCATTTATTTGCCTTGTCACACAGTGTTTGCTGAAGTTCATTCAAGCTGAAAAAAGGCTCAGGGCAGCGAGATTCAGACATGGCAACATTGTAGGGAGTCCTTGACATTTGGTCTGACCTATGCAGAGAGATCCTGACTACCACACTAACATAAACCAATAGTTGGAGACTCCGAGTGATATGGTTCAGAATCGATGATAGTTGTTCAGATGTATTTACACGTTGTTTTCATCTTGTCCACTATGCTGAATTCAGCATTTTCTCATTACTCCTTCCTCTCTTTTACTGCTTCCGACCAGTTTTTCTTTCTTCCTTCATCTTTCATCTTATTGATTTGTTAATGTAACGTGTGGCAACTTGGACCGTTACGCAGTCATGCCTGGTGCTTTATTGATATTCATTCATGCATTAACAGATAACCAATGCAGTAAAGAGTGGGTGCTTTTTCACGTCGTTTAGTTTCTAAAGTCATGCTAGAAATCCTATTAAAGTGTACATTTGAATTCTGATAGGTGATCAGATAACCCGCCAGTACTCCAGTTAACAAACATTCACCAAAGTTAATATTTTGTCCTTAGTTGTTGTAATCTCTCAAGTAAATAAAGCGATTGACTCTTTCATTCCTGATAATCCAATTGAATAAAATGGAAATGAAAGTCAAAACTACTCTCCCTGTGTAGGCTTTGATTGAAATGATTCTTATAATGACAACAAAACGTTAACAGCTGGGTAATTTGAGTGAAAGTAGAAAAGAAACGAATAATTAAAATGATAGAATCGACCGCTTGCGGTGATGACGATTTCTGCTTTTTATAAAAGACAAAGGTGAAATTGGCTTGAAACACCATGAACATCAGCTTAGATCGCCACACCTGAGATATCGTATAATTTACTTACTAGTATCGAAATATCACTGGTAATGTAGTGAAAATGGTGAGGCACTTGTTAGATACCTTTCATTCCATTATGAAAGTAACGAATTGTGATTACCCTTATTAACCCAGTTAGTTATACACGTAGCTACATTAAACAATAATACTCAACTAAGTAAACCTTGAGAGATGAGGCAGAGTTCTATTTATGACCCACTTATTGAAATCAGTGTTTCATAACTAATGAGTCACAGACTTGAATTTATCAAGATTAATATTATTCTTTAAAAGATGTGCGTAACTCACGGTTGATGAAGGGAAGTAAACGAAGAAACAATAATGACATGGATAACGACTACACAATGCAACAGTTCTTGGACTAGCATTATCCAGATCTCTGGAAGCAGACTCGTCTGGCATTGTAAATGGTTGAAAATATAAGTTTTTTTCTGTTTCCCCTTTATATTCTTCAATATTATGTGAATCAATTGCAGTATCATCGGCTGGCATTCCACTCATAGATATATCTGCATCCAATGATTGAGAAGTTGGTTTCAGATCACTTTGTGAATCTATCTTTGATCTAGATTTTACAGACCCTATGTTATCGTAATCCTTCTCAGATCTCTCACCGGTATAATTTGAAGAGTCTGTTAGGCTACTTGGATTTTTCGTCCTACCTGCTGGGAATAAATTTGGTCTCATGGATTCACTTTCCTTTACATATTCAGTAGAACCACCACGTTCTTCATAACCATTTCTTCTACCGGTATTAATAGCTGGAGCCAGAGTTTTATTTTGATTATCATCAGAGATTTCATTTGCATTACTATCATAAGGCAAATAATTATTAAGAAAACCATTAGCGCGTGAAAAGTTATGATCGATACTCATTAGAATCTCTCGTGCTGTTTTACTTTCAGAACAAAATTTGTTTCGACTACCTGCTCCACTTTTCAGCACTTTGACTATTATTATTTTTATTCCTGTGTGAATTAGTTTAGAATGTTGATTGTTATTGCTCTTTTTCAATAACCTTGAGTGAAAATAATCAATAAAATTGATTGAAATCCGCAGTATTAACCACTCATATATATATCGTAACAAATACGAAACAGCACATATCCATTTCCAGTTTTGAATTCTTACTTGTTGTAAATAAATGATCGTTCCATGTACAGTGCTTTAAATTAGTTGTCACCTAATATACATAACTTCAAGTACATGTTGCATGATCCAAATAGGCTTTATTTTTATGTTACTAGATAGACGACAAAATTCTGCTACACGCAGAATACAGACTAAAACTACTGACAAATTGAAGTTACTACACATCACACTTGCAGAATTTTTTAGTCTGAAAGACTTGTTTGATCGTAGTAACAGCAAACTTCTTGAACGAAAAACTTAGAAAGACGCTGAAGTGTCCACAGTGCTGCTTTATAGACAGCAAGAATCCTGACGATCATACTTAAAAGCAAATGAGGAAAACTATAGTGCTTTCAGTCAGCAGGTTATTGATCACTTCAGTCCAAGAAGTCAGAAAAGTAAACCGGGACGATTGAATAAAACTTATTAATCCGTTGAGTCGAAACCTTGTAAACATTCTTATTTACTGCGTTGCTGTTGGATAAAGAAACAAAATGGATACGATTCCCATTATGGTGAGATTATGTTATGTCGAAAGAGAACTATACAAGTAACAACAAACTCGGGAGTCAAAAAAGCAGTTGTCGAATAAAGCAATAATTAGCATTTCGGTCTGATGTTTAAAGTGATTTCATTTATTTCAAGGTAGTATTTATTGCAAACTGACACCAGTTGGAAACCTGCGAGTACTGGTCAACTGCTTCGTCCTAGTGTGGGACTCCTCAGCAGCATGCATTCACGACCTCACCATGGATCAAACTCACGACCTTCAGGCCTTGCATCGAATACGTTAACCATCCAGGCACTGGATAGGAGTTCAATCCCGGTCGATAGCTGTTACCTTGACGTAGTGGTCGGGTTTGAGTATCACAATGACCCAACGAACTATGCTGGTGAGGCGCTTGTTCCCTCGAGGTCCTAACATGCCGGGAGGGTCTTTTGGATATTGGCAAGACGAAAAGCAGATACTGTTTGTGTTAATTACTACACCACGAAGGGGATCTGAGGACGAGATCCAAGTGCTTCTAGCTGGATGGAGTGTAACAGCGTAAAGTGTTTTCATTGAATGGCCAGCAATGACATTCTGATGCATCCTTTCCAATAAGAAGAGTGGATTAGAAAAGGTTCGCCCCGAAAAAAGCACATTCCTCCTTGCTTTGACGTCCTGCGGTGCTACTGGTATGGGTTTTCTCTGTTTGGCGTTAGAACAACCAAAAATAACAACAACAACCAGAAAAAGGATGGGTGATAGGCCTCAAGCAGATGTTCCATGGATTTTGCGGTCACACAAATCTTTTTCTGTTTCAGATAACGTTGTAGGCAGCTGAGAAATGTCAACTGTTCCCAAGATTCCAGTAGGAAACAAGACCCAATCAAACATAACCAATCCTCCTCGAATCCATCTCCTTCTTTGACTTCACCTTCTGATACTAATATTAAACCTCTAACGCTTTACCCAACCTCTCGTTCTGCAACCAAAGCCATGGAAACCTTATTCCTATCGTCTTAAGACCCTACCATCGATCTCATGTGGGAGCTTTCAACATGCGAACTCAACGCCGAATCAGACGGTAAGCATCACTCTTCAAAACTCAAAAATCTCGAGTCGTGGATACATACTGTCTCTGAGACGCGTATACAGGACTAGAATGTGGTTATTAAGTTGACCTCACCTGGCCGTAGTAGTGAATCTTCAAAATTCACCCTAGGAGTGTTCGAAGACACAATGGACGTGCTACTGTAGACATAGCACTGAGTTGTAGGGCAGAAATTGGGCTCCGTGATTGGATACCAGTCAACGGCGTCTATGTGCTGTTCGACTGAATGGGATCTGTATGAACTAGGAAGGATCGTGAAACTAGACAATGTTTGTTCGTATTCTCTGCCTACGTGTACACCGACTGCAGTTCGGAAGATGCAAAGAATGAATTCTATGAGAAGCTGTCAATTTTGCCACAGAAAGCAAAACGTTTAGCTGCTGTCATAATAGTAGATGCCTTTAACGCTCATGTATGGAAGCTGAGCTGAACCAATCACAAATGCATCTTGATGGTGTGCACGGAATCCCATGTCACGGAACCGACAACAGTGATCGTCTCTTGCAATTTTGTTCCAACAATCATGTTTCTGGCTAGCGCTAAGTTTAGGCATCAGTAGATACGCCGTCTCACATGGCGTCCCCCGGCTTCAAACCAACGGTAGACACAGACAGATCACATCGCCATAGGCCATCGTTGGACATGATCAGTGGAGGTTTGCGACTCTCTGAAGTAACTGTTTGGACTCTAATCACGCGCTAATATGGGCTCGTGTATGCTTGCACATTACTAGATGCAGGAAACACGAGGCAATGAGGTCTGTCTGCACTCGACTGGAAAATGAAGACGTCAAGTAAGCACTTAGAGAAGAGTTAGCTACAGACTTATCTGGATGTGACAGTAATGTGGCATGATATTAAGTCTACTGTAGGAACGACGGATACGACAGCTGGTAATCTAAACCCGCAGGTTAGCAAACGTCTTAAGATTTCGGCTACGTCATCCAAACTGACTGATGCTAGTAGATTGATTGTACTTTGCATGATGGGCCACCGCCTACTTTGACCTACTGTGTCAGAGAAGGTGGATTATGACAAAAGAGGGTTCAGGGTGGCCAGACCAGGTCATGGCGCTAGTCGATGAAGTCTCTTACTGTTGGTATGAGTCGTGTGGGGAGATGTAGACTACGTGGTTGGGGTCCCCGAGACTGAAAATCGGTCACAATGGTGCAGATGTGTTCATTACTTGACGTCTTCTAAAACTTGGAAATTTACATTGACCTTTATCTTCAAATTGTTTATTGTCTCACGCAACTCTTATTCCAACCACCTGTTATCTGTATACTACTGTGAAGTAAGGCGACTTGAGGCAATGTACATGTGTGCGAGGTACTACATGGATTTTGTCTGGATGACGAACCAAAGAGGAAAAGTAAAATGGCAAAAGACTAAAATAAAAAAAACAAATAATCAGTAAGAACACAGAAAAATCGTACTACAGAGAATATATTCATCATATGAACAACAATTGTTTCAGAATACCACCATGAGTATAAGTATGAGAAATTTTAAATATTAGGACTTATGATAACAATTTTAATTCTTTGAAATGTGGTTGGATTTTAGACTTCTCATATGGTCGCGTAGCCAATGCAGTACTGATATTCTCTGGTTGTTCAACCCACAAATAATAATCAATATCCGCATCTTTAAGTTTGCTGGCAAAACTTTCTAGTTGTTCCGCATTATCGACGCCTAGAACAACTTTATGCATTCTGTCCAACTGCTTTAAGTACGAAATTGTGTCAGCGTGTGTAGAGTATGTATAAATTGCTGCTGTCGCTGCATGACAACCTTGTGCAATTAATGCACCTAGGGGCCAATTGGAAACACCTGACAAATCCCGACGTAATAGAATATACTGAATTAAAACCATCAGTGGATAATTAGGTTGGAGTAACAAAAGCTGATATTGTGACGTGCGTTCATTCAAATATCCTAGGTATTATAAAAAACATGGGATGTAACAAAAATTGGTTGTTATATGAGGTAATGGTATCGTGGATTTAATTGTTCGAAAGATAGTCTTCGCTAAAAAGGGATATCCGTTAGACAAACACTAGGATAGGCATCCCTTTACTCTCAGAATAGAACTCTTCCGAACGGTATGGTCTCGGTATTTGAAAGGAAGGATCTGGAAATGATCATGTGGTGTTACAATGAAGGGAAACGAGAAGACAGATAAGAAGGAAGGAATGTTTATTGGTAACAAGTGGTACAGTAGTCGTTAAATATGGTACACCTTGAACTAAAACAGTCATTTGCAAAAATGTGCTTCATTTCCTCTTCTGCTTCTCTCTTGATTTGCTCTTCATACTCCCGCGTTTCTCTTGGCAGAATCCTTATCCATTGCTGGTAATTCCTTAAGGTTTCTGCCGCCCTCTTAACATATACTACTTATATCCATTCTTATCTGCAACACCCATTACAACAGTACTAAATTGAAATGTAGCAGCTAATGCATTCCAATTCCAAGTGATTCATAAAAATGATCGTTTTCAGTGGTTTTATGGATGATATCAGCAATTAGTTAAAACTTCTTAGATAAAAACATCTCCCTAGGCTATATGGAGTATACCAAAGACTAAGTGCGAATGGCTATTTGGATGTCGTGAAAACAGATAAGGGTCGCTCAGTGGAACAGAGTAACATCCAATTCAACTTTCATGCAACTGATTTCCATGACCGATCAGAGCATGACTACATCTCCAGGTAGCAGCACGTTACAGACTTTTTCTGTCATTAGAAAAAGTGGCAACTTGATTTTATGTACAACGACAAGAACTTCGACGTTCGTGTTCGTCTACTTATCAAATCTCATCTTTATTAGAAAGTGCATTGAGTGTTATCTTTTGAAACATTCATATATAAACCTATACTAACTCAATATAGTAGTGTACTTGAGAAAGTGAAAGTCATAATTCTAGTTGGCTTTTTACAAGCATGATTATCAGAAAGACATAGTAAACGCAGAGGTGATCACACAAAAGTAGTTACTACATTTAAATTGTTGATTTTATTCAAAGTACCGATAAACACTATATTTACTATTCTTACTAAGTAATGAAAACCTTTTGCTTTAATGGAAACAGGTAACGTTGAAAGATCTAATAATGAGTTAGAAGTTGCCATAGGATTTATTACTTGGGGAAGGTTGAGTGTGTTGACCACTTCACTTACTTGGGAAGTAGGATCAAACCTGGTGGGTTAGTTGCCGATGCGATTTCTGCACGGATACAAAAGGCTCGATTGGCTTTTGCTAATTTGCGCCACCTATGGCGCCGCCGTGATATTCGTTTGTCTATTAAGGGTCGCGTGTACTGCACAGCAGTCCGCTCTGTTCTACTATATGGCTGTGAAACATGGCCATTGAAAGTGGAGGATACAAAAAGGCTTCAGGTGTTTGACCACCGTTGCCTTCGTCGTATAGGACGTATTCCGTGGTGTCACCATGTGAGTAATGCAGAAGTTAGGTGTAGAGTTTTGGGGAGAAGAGGTAAGTCAGTTGACGAGGTTGTGAACCTTCATCGACTGAGATGGTTGGGACACGTGTTACCTAAGCCTAGTCACCGATTGCCTCGTCACACAATGTTGGCCGAAGTAGGTCCACGTTGGTAAAAGGCCCGAGGTGGCAAGACTAAAACATGGCACCAATGTATGAAGTCTCTGACTGTTGGTTTGAACCATGTGGGGCGATGCAGACTAGGTGGTTGGGGTCCACGGGACAAGAGGAACTAGTGTTTGGAACATGACTCTAGGTGATATGGCTCAGAACCGATGTCAGTGGTGCAGATGTATACACACATTATCCTCATCTTAACACTATACCGATTCTCACCATTTTGTCATTCTTCCTTTCTTTCTTCTCATATTTTATATTTCTTTTGACTGAATTCTCTTATCTTCATCTTCCACTTCACTGTCTTTTTACTTGATGTGCTGATATGAGGTGTGGCAACCTGGACCGTTACGCAGTAATGCCTGGTCCTATGTTGATAATGATGATGATGATGGGGAAGGTTGAATTGTATCTACCTATGCGATTTGTGACTCAATATATACTAGCACCGATTTTTAGGACGTATATCATCCAGACCTTGGTTCAGTTCTTTTTAGTAGCCTCAGTGAAAGCATATCTGAACGTATGTAATGCGACAATAAACTTACCACTTTGAAACATGGTCTACCTACTGACCAGGCCCTCGACAACCCCGCAGCATTGTAAGCCCTAACGCAATAAGTGTGGCTAATTGCCTACTGCACATTGTTGAGAAACGTATTTCAGTTTTTGTACTTGTAAAGGAACGACTGCAGATCCCTGTAGCCTTTTATTCCACTCACTTGGGAACTAGTTGTTATTAAGTAGAATTAACAAAAAATCTTGATCTTTCTCGCTATGCTAACCACAGAATCAATACTAAGAGAAAAATCTAGAAGTAGGATGGGAGATGAAATAAAGTACGTAGAACAGTCAAACCACACTTTGTGAAATCTCAAGTTTCACACGCGTCATCAAACGGAACTCTTTCCAGGACTACGGGATTTTAACACTTATATGTCAAAGTCACAGGTGAAATACAGTCCGAAGTACACACAGGAGAGTACAGAGATTCGAACAGAAAAACTATTGTGATTAAAATAACTTCTCAACCGCATACGGTATACCAAAACAACCAACGGTTAATGCTGTGCGACGATTGCTTATGGTATATGCCTGCAGTGACTCCATATAAAATGACTAGCAGCAGTGTCAATTGTCAGGAGAGAGCAACATATAAACTCTGAAACACTCCAACATTTCGTCAACTTATGGACAGTATCAACTATTGGTTCTAGTATCGCAAATCCAAATAGGAAGTTCTGAAAAAACGGAGTGAGACTATGTACGAACTTCAGTGATATTTACAGTGCATAAGTGAAGCCTACATTTCCTCATAGACTTTAGACCCTGTTCTTGGGAAGCCTATTTATTTGCACACATTTAGTGTACCTACAACAGCAGATCGATAAAAGCGCTTGGATACCAGCATTGCTTACGGTAGCCCAACAATACTTGAAACACAATCATGGTAGAATAACTTAAAAGCATAGATTAGTGAATAGTTGACTACTTCATTTGAACGATAGGTAGTAAGAGCGGAAACAGTGAATCGAGTTCCTGCAACACAATTTTATGACACAGTGCTATATAGTTTCCAAGAATTCGGAGACAAATGAAAAGTAAATGTCGAATTCACAAAGTTTGGAGGACCAACATTTGTCCTGCCAGTCAACCATAAGTTACAATTGCCTTAGCTATAACATTTCCATTTATTCTCCTACTCATCGATCGAATCGTACTAATTTACTGAGGAAATTATCATTTTATATAGATACTTATGGTGTCGATACTTCCAGGCAATTCGACAACCTTAACTAGTGACACCACGTTTTCAATTCTACAAAGGTGACAATTGGAGTTAACAAGGAATGATACTAAGTAGTCAAAAATCTTTAACTTGGATGACACAAATAGATAAAGATACCGTAGATGGGAGAGTGAATGCAGACTCTAAATCGTTTTGAGGTATCTCTTCCATTTTTTATTGCAGAAAAGGGAATGCCACAATGCAAGGTGTGCTCCGTTTGTGAGCTGTTCTAGTGGCAACCTTTTCGTAAAAAGAAAGAATAATTTCCAGCCTGAATATAGCAGAGTCTTTTATCACTCCAGAAATAAGCCGTAGTGAAACTTGAAACTTAGATCCGGATCAGCATATTCCAAAAGATTTTCCACATGTGATCAGGAATCATAATAGCTTGATTAGAGCAAGGAGGCAGCAGCCAACATCCACTCGGAAAGAGTCTTTAAATATTACAGAACTAGGTAAACACTAATATCAGAACACATCAACTTGTTAGTTGCTATGATTAACTTGTTTGTGGATAGCAATAGAGAACAGGATGCGCGTTTCGTCTTATCAGGGACACGTCAGCTGGATGTAACTGCACCCCATTTAGTGATATTGTTCCCAATTCGATCCAATATAACAATGGAGAATTAAAAGTATCAAAAAATAAACATGCTTGTGTTTAAAAGCCAGTGAAAATTGAATAAAGTAAAGAAGAATGGTTACATGCAAACTTTAAAACAAATTATCTATGCAGTTAAACTAATGCCTTAAGTTTTCATCAAACAGATGAATACTTTGTAAAGGAAGAATGGAAAACGATACACACAAAAAGTATTTATTTGAAAATAAATGTATGAATACACCACAAAGTCAGTCAGGAGAAATGATCAGATTTTGAATAGTAATGCAATCCTCATTGATCTTTTTTACAGTAAATACTGTTAATATTTACATAACATAGCAGAAAAAAACCTCTTTTACGTGTACTATGCACTACAATCAGAGTCAGAATCACTTAGCTTCAGATCATGTTCAATTAATTTGCGATGAGCTGCTAAGTTGGCATTAACAGTTTTCGTATCAGATTTTACATTCGAAGATGGCTTACTTTTTGACTTATTCTTACCACTTGATAAACTGCTGAGAGTGGAAGAACTTGAACCGCTGTCTGATGCACTGTCGTCGTTACTCTCCGATGATTCGACATCCATGTCGCAACTACTACCACTGCTACTACTACTGCTGCTAGTGGTACCACTACTACTACTGCTACTGCTGAGTGTTCTCGAGTGTGTTGGCTTTTTCTGTGAAGACTGTTGAACTGCATTACTAGAAGGTACAGATATCTCAGGATCATTAGACTTCCTTTTGGTGGCAGAAGGTCGAACAGATCTTGAGTCTTGATCTGAACGTCCAGGTAAAGAGTGAAACTGTGTCAGCTCTGAGTTAAGAGGACAAGAAGCATCAGATTTCCGTTCTTCTCGAGTTTTCTTTAACAATACGGTATGTGCGATCCGCTCCAATGTCAATTCGTGGGTCTAGGATAAAGACAAATGCAGAAAATTGGTCTTGAAAACATCAGTAGAATAAAAAATTACGTTCATTTGAATATCACTGCTGAAGAATCGGAAATCTCAGTCTTAGAGCAAAGTAAGGAATGATAAACTATTTGCATTCTCAAACTAATCAAAAGAACTGGCTTTAAGGTATACTGATAAATTCATGTACTAAGAGTAAAATAACCAAATATGTCTCAAAAAGCGTAAAGAACTATAACTTGGTCAAAGGGGTGCATGACAGTATATGAGTCAACCAATGGTAAATATAAAACAATCAGGAGACATCAGAATAAGCATGGTTTAGCAGACGGTACGATGAGTCTGCTTGCCCTCTAGATAAACACTCATCTGGGTTTAAACTTATAGCACTACCAGAGAATTCTTTAAATAGCTAAAATGAGGACGTTGTTTATTGGTTAATGAACTTAACTTTTAAGCAGCTGGTGTAGGGTTTGGTTCCTGCCTCACCTACTCCAGCATGCGTGGACGCTTAGTACCATAAGCTCTCAGATAAGTGTGGCTTATAGCTTCGTACATAAACCAATACCAGTTAGCCAGTCAGCATCAATGTGGTACCTGGGCATTTCTGCTTAACAGTTAATGTTACCATAACTTACACTGGCACATGGAGGTAGAAGACATTATATGTGTACGAGGTTGGGTCGCATTGTTCTTATCATTATATCATCGAATAAATAGATATGAAGGGTTAACCACGCGAAGCTGGAAAACCTGATATCAAAAACTTGGTGCACATTAGCTACAGAAGACAATTGAATAAAAATGCAATCAGCACCCTTGTGCACAGCCATGCACTAAGCAGTGAGCCACACCAATTGTACCTTTGTGTGATACTGCCTGGTGGCCAAAACCTCGGTCGGACGGGTGGTGTTCGAACCTATAACCTATTGTTTGGAAGCCAAATGTCTAAACCAATGAGCCGCAGCTCCACAGAAGAAACTCATAGTACATGAACTTATTTTGGTAACCGGTGATCATAAGGAGGCAACATCTAACATTGCTGTGTTGAGACAACCATCTGCTTCACAGTCAGTATCTGGACAGAATGTCAGACCCCACATAGTGCATGATGATATGAGGCTGCCATGAAGATTTGAAAGAGCATACCCAAATGGCTTTAAAACAACGAAGCCTAAAAATTTTTAATCAACCAACTGTATTATTGCTGCTTTATTTCTACATGAACTATTTTGTTATTGTCTGGTCACTTTTACCATTATCCTCATCATTACTTCACTCAGCTGTTTGCTATTGTTTGAAATTTTGCTATCTACATTTTTTCAAGTTATGAAAACTTTCTTTAAAAGAAACTTTTAGCTCATGAGTCAATAACATTTCAATAACGTTTACCGATTAGACTGGTTTCCCTTGGTGTTTGGACCTTGATGCAGATCGGATAACAGATAGGTCTCAATGGAACTGTGGAAAGCTCCGCGACCCACAAACCGTCATACAACACTCCAGTTCCAAGAGTATGTTTATGTACACCTATTGAAGAACCTAAAGAGACTGACATGCAACCCAGTAACGAAACTCTACTAGCCAGTTGTATCCTTATGAATAGCCGCATACGCGATGTTGAGCTGGAAAATTCAGATACGGTGAGGAACCACTGACAACGAAAATAATATGGCTTCATCAATGATACATGATACTGTATTGTTAGGGATTTGAATACGGTATAGGTATCTATTTACTCAAGGTGATATAACCGCTTTCCTGACCAATGGTGGATCAGTTGGTAATAGTTCAGATGACAAGCAATCTTCAGCAGCTTTCCAAAACCACAAATGGTCTATGGCTAAGCAAGAGATTCCGGCACAGCTATTATACTATTTAAAGTTTTCTCTGAGTAAATCAGGCCTGAAGTCTTATCATGTTGAAATAACTTTTTGGTGGCTCAGACGTATTCTGCATTCACAGTGCTTAGGGGATACTTGTTTGGCCCTTGGATCACGCTTTATATTGTGTGCTAAAAACACAGTATATTGATGCCCATCATATCATGGTCCCCAGCAAATCGATAAAAAAAATTTTTGAGTGTTCGTAGAATCGATAGATATTTTCTATGAACTTGTTAGAATAGGTATAACACTAAGCTCCGGAAAAGAAAAATCAATTTTTGACTGCACAGCAGGCGATACTTGGTGTATGCTTCATTTGTTTGAATGAATCTATGAGAACTGCTAACAACCGCAGCACCCATCGAAGCTTACTCGCAACCTCCACATATATACCAATCGATTACAGCTGGCCTGATTCTAAAGGTGAATAAAGCTTGAAGATAGATAACCCAAGAAAACTAGACACAGATATACACAATTACAATGTAAGAATTAGCATTACTACGTAGAGGTCCAAGTTGCAACACTCTAACTTCAGTACATCAAACTGGACTGCTCTAAGATGAAATGTAAACAAATAAAGAAGTAGGCAGTCATAAGAGGCAAAACGACACTAAAAAGGAGAGCAAGGAGGAATAAACATTAATGAAATTCAGTACTACGACCACGATGAAAACAATGTGAGTGCACATTCGGATTACTAAGATCTATTCTGAGTAATAACAACTCAAATCTTCAACTGGCTTCTGTTGTCACGTAAACCCGAACCTCGAAGTTTACATTTCCGCAAACGTCTCAGAAACAAGAGTCACAGATTTCAGGCACTGATACCATGTCTAAGTCTTACCAACCCCAAATTTCGCCAACCTGAAACTACTTCACCTAACAGTGCGATGCGTTAAACGATGGTTAGGCATGCAAAACACGTGAGTCAATGAAGATTTACAACCCCAGAAACTGACTTTCTTCTTCTCCCTAAAACTCTACACGTGACTTCTACGTTAGTGAAGTGGTGAAACAACGACACACGACCTGGGCTACAAATCCCATGTCCTCTACCTTCAATTACCATATTTCACAACAATATAGTAGACAAAGTGGATTACAGAGCAATACCGACCCTTAATAGGCAATCAGATATTACGCTGTCTCCATAAATGGCTTGAGATGGAGTCTTGTGTGACCACACCAATCTTGCAAAGTCAAACGGGGAGAGGGGAACCTTCTTAGACATGTCTACGATAAAACTAATTCAGATTAGAGGTGAACACTCTTGACGGAAACCACTCGACGTCCACAACTCCCCTGATACTACACCATAGACTCTAACACGCCAACGAATGTTCAAATGCAGGGAATTCACTTCAATGTACCTACCTATTCCCGCTTTCATTAACACACTGCTATAAGACTTGTCGGTTGAAGGAGCTGAAAGCCACCTTCAAACCAGACAGTAACATTGATGATAATTATGACATTCATTCCAGATATATTTGTAATGCAGTTAGGAAGTCTCTGCAAGCAATCTCCTAACAAAAATTTACTCTTTTAACGTCTTTCTCTTCCCATAAGATCCATGTAAGGTAAGGTACAGTTGTAATCTTTCACTTAGCTGTACGAGCAGTCTTATGTAATTCCTCCGTCTTCCCTAGAGAGATATCTGTGCATAAACAAGATGCTTGGTAATTGATGAAATGGCTGTAGCTGGTTGTATGCATGAATTAAACGTGTCTGCGAGTAAACTACAGACTCATTTTTCCCAATGGTCTCATTAGGGAGGGAAGGCGATTGATGTGTGTTTTACGCATCCCAATTCACTGTCTACCTCGGCATTCGATGCTAGATGAATTAACAATGAACTGAAAGAAAGCTAATGGTGATGACACCAGGACGTGGTACCAGTTCATGAAGTTCTTCTTTGACTGCCTACCTAGGGCTTTAGAAATGATAAGAATGACTGGCTTGTGACTTTCAGTGATAAAATTCAAAGTCGATGACAAAGATGAAAATGTATACATGTCTTTATCAACCTCGAAGTCTCGATATATCTGCTGAGTTTTATGTACTATCTATTTCAAAGTTATTCTTTTTTATTCATTTCTTGGAATGGTACTGTGAAATGTAGCAACCCAAATCGAAGCCTTTCTGTCCAGCGGTCCTACATTAACTTGCTTGCAACTGTTTATCTTTTGGTTTTGACGAATGTGATTATCTGTGGAGAAATGCATTTATTTACAATTCATAAGATTTACCCCTATTCACCAGCGAGATGTCACACTGTCGGATTTCCTGTGACTACACAAATTGTTCAAATACCGGACTCACCTTTTTATTATAGATTAAAAAGCATTCCTTTTGAACAGGGCGGGCAGTTCCACGAAACACAGTTGTTGCATCGGTTCCAGTGTTTGGAATATTTGGTAAGTTGACAATAACTTCCTTGCTTTCATTTACTTTCATTGATCCAGGTTGTGAGCGATCCACAGAAGCGGGCATAAAGTCAAACCTCGATGTCATATAAGATGTTGAATCTCGATCCAAGAAACTTTTACCTAGCTTAACGTCAAATGTCCCACTAAGTTGCATTGTAGTGGCAGCTATAAAGGAAACGAAATTTAAATTTTTTTTTATCACATAGAATAAATCTGCAGAAGCGTTCATTACAATTCCGTTAAAAAATCTCTGAGTTATCAATCTATGATATGTATGATATACGAAAAGAATGAGGGCTACATAAATATGACTGTAGTTAATGAGAAATATCGACATAAATTTAGGTTATCTACTGTACATGAAATGAAGGGCGAGGAGTTCATATGAGTTAAACACTCATGAAGAAGAAGAAAACGTTAAATGGTGGTTGAATATCCACTAAATTATTACAAAAAAGCAAGCCTCACTCTTGTGGAAATGAAGAGTTATCGTGGACATGCAGTTGACACAAGATGGATGACTTATACTTTCTACCGGTCTGATACTGTCAACAAGCCTGGCACAAAATGTGTCACATACTTATATGTCATTAGGATAATACTCAACCATCACGAAGGATGCAGGAGAAATTAAGGAGACAAGACTACTTACCAAGAGGTGAATATTCATGTTTTTGTGTAACAGCCAGCATCCCAAACGTAAGACCTAGCAGTTGAAGAACTACTTCCTAGTTGTTGAACTGAAATACAGTGGCACCAGAATCACACAGAAATATCAGTTTCAGATGGTAAAGTCAGCTAACCACCCGAGAGATCACATTATGGGAAATGACCACATACATATATAAATATCACCTCCCAGATGGCAAAGTTCAGTACTGAGGAATTCCGGACTGAATATAGAGTCACAAAGATATTTGATTAGCACAGAGCGGCTTACTGCCAATTGTTTCAAAAAACAACCACTAAAAAATCTGAACCTACTCAGCGACAAAAAAATGAAGACTTCAAAGTGAGGAAGGTGGTATGTAAGGGAATGATCTTGAAGCCCTCACACATGTAAAGCAAAATCATTTAGGTGAACTTGTGATTCACTCAGCCAGAGTTTCAATCTTAGTATACCAACTGACTCACGAAAACTAGGTACAATGAGCGTAAAGGTAACAGATCAATATAGATGATGGTAAACAGTTTCAGTAAAGGCAGATAATACACCCAAAGATAAACCCACATTTTACACCAGAATAATTCTATACCCAACGTTTAGCGATAGCCTGTCAGGTGTGAGAAACGAGTTGTTGAAAACGAGATGATTATAAGGTGCAAATTACAGTTTACTGCATTTAGGGTCAAGTGACGAAGTTTTGTCGGATAAACTCATAAGTTGGTCTTCAGGTGGTTGAGTTCTCTTTGTAGGATTGAGACATAAAATATATGAACCATTCTGTTCAGTAAATCTCCACTGGATAAGATATAATTTTGGAGTAGCCATTTTTTACCTTTTTCGGATCATGGCAACGACATAAGGGGCATGAAGTGCATGCGGTAGTGAGCATATGATATTTCCTGATACCCTATATACCCATGTGTTTTTAGAAAACCTTGAAAGGCAGATTTTTGGCACTTATAAGGGAATTTTAGCCTAATCTGTTAGTGAAGTTTGCACAGAAGTGGTTTGTGAGTGCATTTATGAAAATATACATCCAGATTATTTGGCTGCATAAAACATGTCACTCAGAGTAGTCTATGTACTAACAGAAATTCGACTCCACTTTAGCCAAGTAATGTAGGATCAGTACTGGTCTCTTAGCAATATAATATACGTCATGATTGTCTACAAAGCAGCATGAGAGAAGTAATAAGTGCATATTAGTCGTGCAAAATCTTACTATGCAAATAGTAGACTTTGCGTAAGGTTGAACTTTTTAATTAGTTTAGAAATTCAATTTGGAGTTTTTTAGGGGTTGGTTAATTGATTTAAAGTTAGTATTCATGACAGACTAACTATCAGTCGAAGAACCACTGAAAACCAGGGACTCCTCAGCAGTGAGCACACATGACCCTACGGAACTCGGAGGTCCTGGGTCTGACACTTGGCGGGTCACGAGTGAATTACTTTAGAAAGATTATTATAGTGGGAACAGTAAACCCAGAGGGATACAGAAACTCACCTGTTTACGGCTGCGGCTTAATGGCATTGTTTTTTGAAGATGTAAGATAGACATGAGGATATTAATGAAACTGCATAAAACGTACCCCCTATTTTCATTGCTCGACCGACAACTGCTACCTTGACGTGGTGGTCGGGCTTGCATACCACAATGACCCAACGAACTATGCTGGTGGAACACTTGTTCCCTCGAGGTCCTACCATACCAGAAACGTCTGCTGGATAGTGGTTAGATGGAAACCAGTTACTGTTATGGAGTAAGTTACTACACTATAATGGGGGTCTGAGGGCAAAGTCATACTGCTGTTAGCTGAATGGGTGTAACAGCAGTAAGGTGTTTCCCTTGGAAGACCACCAGTGCCATGCTGATGCTGCCTTCTCAGTGGAAGGGGGTTTAGAAAAGGTCCCCCCCTCCAAATAACACACTCTACCATGCCGCACGGTCTACCGGGCCGGTGGTGTTGGTTCACTTGTCGTTTCTTTTCGACCATCCGGCCCAAAAAAAGTTCGAAATAACCATACACAAAAGGCTGGGTGTGACAGGCCTCAAGCAGGTGTCCGATGGGCTCTGTGGTCACATAAATCTCTTTCTGGGACCTTCAGAAAAAATAGCCTTCCACGGTGTGGGCAGCCGGGAAGTGTCAACCGCCCTCACAACTCTGTCAGCACTCAAGTTTCCTCAGACTGCTATCCATCTCCCCCCTTATTACCTTCTTATCTTCCTTCACGTCTCTCAATTGACGATACTACATCATCCTCAATTTCTCCTAGCTCTGCAGCCTTTGACAACGCTCCAAATTACATATTGGAGCCTTTAATGTCCGCACCCTCCGTCAAATTGGTCAACAGGCTTCGTTGGCAAAGACTAGCAACTCGGGCCATGGATGTGTGCCGTGTTTGTGACACACGCATACAGGACCCAAGTGTGGTTATTCACCTAACATCTCCTGACCAATCTGGTGAATCCGCAAAATTGACCCTTCGAGTTTCTGGAGATCCGATAGCTAGCTCTCGTGGTCTTGCAGGTGTAGGCACAGCATTAAGCAACAGGGCAGAAAACTCACTACTAGACTGGATCCCAGTTGATAGTCACCTCTGCACTATCCAACTGAATAGCACAGTGAGAACCAAAAGGAATAGTAAGACTCGACGTTGTCTCTTTGCAATCTCTGCTTACACACCCACTGACTGCAGCTCGGATGAATTGAAGGACGAGTTCTACCGTAAACTGTCTAACCTCCTCTCGAAAGCCTAAAGTTCGGATGTGACGGTTGTTGCAGATGACTTCAATGCACATGTGCGTAGACTGAGTGAGGCAGAAAGGCGCTTGGTGGCACTTTCGGAGTCCCGGCTGAATGTACAAATAACGGTAATCGCCTACTACAACTATGCTCAGATAACCGCCTATTTTTAGCCAGCACAAATTTCAGACATAAAGAAAGACACTGTCTGACGTGGCATCCACCAAGCTCAACCCAGCGATGAATACAGATAGACCACATTGCTATTAGTCATCGCTGGAGAGGATCGGTGGAAGACTGCCACTCTTTCTGGAGTACGTGTTTGGATAGCAACCACGCGTTGGTCCGAGCGCGTATATGCCTGCGTCTCAATGGACGTAAGAAAAATTTGGCAACAAAATCACTATGAGTGCAGCTCGATAACGAAAACAACAAAGCCATGTTCAGTGAGAAGTTGGCTAGGCAGTTATCGGAACAGAACACTATCACTCATCCAGAAGAAGCTTTGTGCCTTTTTCAGTCTGCTGTAAAAGCAGCACTGAAGACTGTAACCGACTCCAAAATAGTGGCTAAAAAGCGACAGTGGATATCAGCAGTTTCTTCCGAACTAATGCATGCACGTGAACGCATCCCTACTGGCTCTGAGTACAATGAAGAGCGAGCACAACTTAAAAGTAGATTGAGAGAAAGTCTACGCAACGACCGGGAACAGTGGTGGGCAACGAAGGCTAAAGAGATGGAAAAGACAGAGGCGATTGGTAACAGTAGACAGTTGTTTAGACTTATTAAGGAAACTGGGGGAAAAGATCAACAACAGTTAGTGAGGCTATAGCAGAGAAGGACGGATCTGCGATTCACTTACAGGGGAGACGACTGGAACGATGGGCAGAACACTTCGAGCAACAGTTTAACTGACCTTCAGCCACCATTTCGTTGCCCGCTGTCCAGTCGGATCCTGAACATTAGGAATATTGAGATAGGCCCCCCAACACCAGGAGAAGTCGAGAAAGCGGTAGGTAACCTGAAACGGGGAAGGGTGACAGGACCAGACGGACTAACTCCAGAGGTATATAAGGATATTGGTAAGGTGCTCTCAGTCAGGTTAACGGAAGTGTTAACCAATATATAGGAATCAAATACTATCCCCTCTGACTGGTCTAAATCACTGATTATTCTAGTCTTCCTGAAAGATGAGAAGTCCTCTTGTGACAACCACAGAGGAATCAGCCTGATGAACATAGTGTCCAAGATCCTAGGTTCTATAATTCTCCAACGCCTGAATGGAGCTCGGGAACAGCAAGCTCGAGAAAACCAGGGAGGATTTAGACACGACCACGGGTGCATCTACAAAACATTCACACTGCACCAGGTTTTGGGACATAGACACGCTTACAGACGTCCGACAATAGCTGTATTTCTCGACCTGAAGGCGACACTCGACTCCGTTAATCGAGAAGTTTTATAGCAGTGTCTCTCACTGAAAGGCGTACCCAGTGAGAGTGCATCACCTTATTGAAGGCTCTCTACTAGAACACTTGTGGGCATGTTAGGGCCTATGGTGAGATGTCTAGGGAGCTATGCTCATCGAGCTCATCGAGTGGTGGCCATCAATGATGCCCACTCTCTCCATTCTTATTCAATTTCATCACAGATATTCTCATGGAGGTCTCTCACTCGTCACCAGGTTACACAGACGTTGACCTAATCACAGGAGAATTTTCATTAGACCTAGAATATGCAGATGACATAGTCCT